GATTTATGTCAGAGAGTGTTTTGCCTACATTTTCGTCTAGGAGTTTTATAGTTTCTGGTCTTACATTTAGATCTTTAATCAATTTTGAGTTTATTTTTGTGTATGGTTTTAGAAGGTGCTCTAGTTTCATTCAGATTGTCTTTTTTCTGTTGTATATTTTTGCCTCCTTTGTCAAAGATAAGATGTCCATAGGTGTGTGGATTTATCTCTGGGCTTTCTATTTTGTTCCACTGATCTATATTTTTGTCTTTGTGCCAATACCATACTGTCTTGATGACTGTAGGTTTGTAGTATAGTCTGAAGTCAGGCAGGTTGATTCCTCCAGTTCCATTCTTCTTTCTCAAAATTGCTTTGGCTACTTGAGGGTTTTTGTATTTCCATACAAATTGTGAAATTATTTGTTCTAGTTCTCTGAAAAATACCGTTGGTAACTTGATAGGGATTGCATTGAATCTATAGATTGCTTTGGTTGGTATACTCATTTTCACTTTATTGATTCTTCCAATACATGAACATAGTATATTTCTCCATCTATTTGTGTCCTCTTTGATTTCTTTCATCAGAATTTTGTAGTTTTCTATATATAGGTCTTTTGTTTCTTTAGGTAGATTTATTCCTAAGTATTTTATTCTTTTCATCACCATGGTGAATGGGATTGTATCACTTATTTCTCTTTCTGTTTTCTCATTGTTAGTGTATAGGAATGCAAGGGACTTCTGTGTGTTAATTTTATATCCTGCAACTTTACTATATTCATTGATTAGCTCTAGTAATTTTCTGGTGCTGTCTTTAGGGTTTTCTATGTAGAGGATCTTGACATCTACAAACAGTGTGAGTTTTACTTCTTTCCAATCTGGATTCCTTTTATTTCTTTTTCTTCTCTGATTGCTGTGGCTAAAACTCCCAAAGCTATGTTAAATAGTAGTAGTGAGAGTGAGCCCTCTTGTTTTCTTCCTGACTTTAGGGGAAGTGCTTTCAATTTTTCACCATTGAGGATAATGTTTGCTGTGGGTTTATCACTTATGGCTTTTATTATGTTATGTTCCTTCTGTGCCTGCTTTCTGGAGATTTTTTATCATAAATGGGTGTTGAATTTTGTCAAAGGCTTTCTCTGCATCTATTGAGATAATCATGTGGTTTTTATCTTTCAATTTGTTAATGTGGTGTATCACATTGACTGATTTGCAAATATTGAAGAATCCTTGCATCCCTGGGATAAAGCTCACTTGGTCATAATGTATGATCTTTTTAATATGTTGTTGGATTCTGTTTGCTAGAATTTTGTTGAGGATTTTTGCATCTATGTTCGTCAGTGATATTGACATGTAGTTTTCTTTTTTTTGAGGCATCTTTGTCTGGTTTTGGTATTAGGGTGATGGTGGCCTCATAGAATGAGTTTGGGATTTTAGCTTCCTCTGCAATTTTCTGGAAGAGTGAGTAGGATAGGTGTTAGCTCTTTTCTAAATTTTTGGTAGAATTCACCTGTGAAGCCATCTGGTCTTGGGCTTTTGTTTGTTGGAACATTTTTTATTACAGTTTTTATTTCCGTGTTTGTGATGGGTCTGTTAAGATTTTTCTATTTCTTCCTGGTTCAGTTTTGGAAGGTTATACTTTTCTAAGAATTTGTCCATTTCTTCCAAGTTGTCCATTTTATTGTCATATAGTTGCTGATAGTAGTCTCTTATAATCCTTTATATTTCTGTGTTGTCTGTTGTGATTTCTCCATTTTCATTCTAATTTTGTTGGTTTGATTCTTCTCCCTTTTTTTCTTGATGAGTCTGGTTAATGGTTTGTCTATTTTATTTATCTTCTCAAAGAACCGATTTTTAGTTTTGTTGATTTTTGCTGTAGTCTCCTTTGTTTCTTTTTCATTTATTTCTGCCCTAATTTTTATGATTTCTTTCCTTCTACTATACTAACCCTGGGGTTCTTCATTTCTTCTTTTTCTAGTTGCTTTAGGTATAAAGTTAGGTTATTAATTTGAATTTTCTCTTGTCCATTAGCTAATCTTAGAGCAATATCTGGCATGTATTAGGCAGTCAGTAATTGTCTTTTGGGTGGTTTAAGGAAAGCATATACAGATGCTCATGCCATGTGCCCCGCACTCTGATAATTGTCACTGATGGAGGCATCCTTGGACTTAGATTTTTGCTCTGCTTGTCCCCTTCTGTTCTCTCATACACAACGTGGTTTCTTGAAAACGTCATCTATATTCTGTTCTTCAGCATCTTCCTACTTGTAATAAACCCCTTACATCTAGCTGGTGCCTCTGCCTCTCAAATGAAACTGCTCACACCAGTTGCCAACAACTTCCTGGCTGCCAGGTCCAATGGATTTTGTAGTCTTTGTCGTATTTGATTCATCAGTAGCGTTTGACAGCTTCTCCATTCTGCCTTCACATCCATGGTGCCATCTCTTTGGGTTTTATTTCTTTCTCTTAAACCATCATGTGCTTATGGTTGCAAATTTTATGTCACATCAGATAATATCTTTTAGATGGAAAAATTGTTTCTCCTTACTAACTTCATGTCTTCACAGCACTCTGCTACCTGAACAAAATGTACCACTGAGCATGAGTGGTACATGCTTCCATGCAGACCTGTTAAAACTGTATTTAATGGCTTTTTGCTAGTCTTAATTCATGACCCCCATTTTTATTGAAGGATGTATTTGTTGATTGTGTTTTTGATTATATCCCAGTTTATAATAGCTGGAGTTGTAAATTCCGTTTTGTATTTTCAGTAGAAAGCATCTTTCAGGTTACTGTCATTCTCCAGTTTTTCATTTTAGGAAACAGGAGCTCAAAGTAAAGTTGTTTGAAGAAGGTTACTTTTATAACCTATAGTTTGTTTTCATATATTGAGAAAATAAAACATCCATAATCTACCTATTTGACACATTAAATAACAAAATTAGTTGGCAGGCCAATTAGTTGGCACTCTTATTGGCACCCAATAAAGAATACAAGGAATAAACTTATTCAAGTTTATTCTCATCCATCCAGTCTCCAAAACTATGGGAGGAATTAGTTTTTTCTCCTATTTAAAGCCCCTGCCTTTTCAGGAGTTTTGTTCTCTCTATCCATTCTCTGTGTCTTCAACTTCTCCATCTCTACTAGATTTCTCACAAGTTCAGATCTTTTCCATTCTAGTAACAAACTCTGCCAAATCCTCTCCCTTGGTCCTGACTGATCTTATTTTGCCCCTTCATATATATGCTTCTTAAAGCAATATATACCTACTCTCTGGGCTTCCCTTGTGGCTCAGCTGGTAAAGAATCCACCTCCAATGTGGGAGACCTGGGTTGGATCCCTGGGTTGGGAAGATCTCCTGGAGAAGGGAAGGGCTACCCACTTCAGTATTCTGGCCTGGAGAATTCCATGGAGTCCATGGGGTGGCAAAGAGTAGGACACAACTGAGCGACTTTCACTTTCACCTACTCTCCACTTTTCTTCAACTTCCATCCACTTTTTAGACATTTTTTATTATGAAATGTAATATATGTCCTGAAAAGTGCATCAAACATATGTGTACAGTTTAATAAATTAGTTATATAACTTCCATTCAAGTTATATGACACCAGTGTGTTCAAAAATAGAAAATTACCACTACCCTGAAACCCTCTGTGCTCTATTCTCTCCCCACAGGAAGTAATCACCGTCCTGGCTTTTGTGGGTTATCATTTCCTTGCTCTTCTTTGTAGTTCTACCACCTTTGAGTGCATCTTCGTCACTCTTCAACCCGTTGCCTTCTATTGTCTCTACCTTCCCACAGATTCCAAAATTCCCACAATGAGATTATCCATGAACAGTGACAAATCTCATGCGTGTTTCTCGGCTCTGGTCTCACTAGGCGTCTCTGCTGTATTTGACATCATGGATCAGTTCCTCCACCTTGGAGCTGCTCTAAGGTGTATGACTGTATCCTCTGTGGCTCTGCGTCCTTTAACCTCTCCTCCTCCGTCTCTTTCATGGGGTTTTCTGCCTGCCCCTCTCGGGTTGCTGTGCTCAGGGCTTCCATCTTTAGCTCACTGCTGTTCCCCTGGCTGTGGTGATTCTGAACACTCTGGTCATTTCAGCCTCAGCTGTTGTGTAGCTTACTTTCAGATCTAATCTTTAGCTCAGACATGTTTCCTAAACCTTATCTTAAAACAGATAACTTCCTGGTGGACATCTGTCTCAACCTAGATGCTCAACATCCAAAACAGACTTCATCATCTTTCCCTCTAAACTGACTCTGTCCTCTTTTCCTATCTTTTCTGAATCAATTGTTGACAGTACTACTCACTGGTTCCCCCAAGTTAGAAACCTGAAAAGTTAGAAACCTAATTTCTCCTTACCCTCTACCTAAAATTTTCCATTTGATACATGCCTAATTCTTTAAGAGTAAATTTAAATTTTATATTTCAAGGGAAGCTTTACCTGAGTTCCTCATCCCATCCAATAATGGATCCCTTTTGTCAGCCCATTAATACTTTGTGTATGCTTCTATTACTGTGTTTACATTGTTTGCCATTATCTATTTCTATTCCTGGGTTGGGAAGATACCCTGGAGAAGGAAATGCAACCCCCTCCAGTGTTCTTGCCTGGAGAATCCCATGGACAGAGGAGCCTGGCAGACTAAAGTCCATGGGGTCACAAAGAGTCGGACATGAGTTAACGACTAAACCCATCTGTTTAGATGTCTGTCACATAAAAGGCTTTTATTCTCCTTTATCTGAGATACCTAATACATAACACAGTCACAGTATTGGGCACAACACCAAATGGAATGAGGAGTGAGGAGGCTGAGGGAAATCTCATGTTGATGTTAAGAATAAAAGAATTGTTATGTTACACACTTTAATCACCCAGAACCAGTCTGAATATGGGTTCTCCACACTAAACTGTAGGAGGCAGTGTTTCTAAGGAATCTTTTATCTGAAAAAATTTCTTTTGGAAAGTATGAGGTTTTAGTTTCCTTCTGATATTCACTAAATCTTTACAAATATTCATTTTGCAGACCAAACCTGGACCACCCAAAAAGCCAAAGACCCCTTCTGGACAATCAACCTTAGTGTATTGCTACAACTGTGGGCAGGAAGGCCATTATGGACATGTAAGTTTAAGTGGTAATTTGGACATAAAGCATTCTGTTGCTCAGGAGTGGTTGCTTAAAGGTGAACTTGAATAATTCTAAACACTTACTTTTTTTTTTTTATAAACTAATATCTTGAATATATTTTCAACTGATTTACGTCTTCCATCCCTACCAGAGTAATATATCTGACAGAGCACATTCCTATATTTGTTTTAAATATACATGCAGGTTAGTCTGAAACAAATACAGCTCATAGAATTATTCAGACAAATCATAGTAGTTAATAGAATGGTTTACAATTCTCAGGAATTTCAAGGATTGATAATACTTTGATCCAGCCAAACTGTGATTTTAGATTTTCTACATAGTTCTTCAGTATCTCTGGTTTTCCCTGGTACTGTGTTCAGTTAAATCTTTCCCACTCACATGCAGACCCTAACACGTGCTGGTGGAAGGACAGAGGGGTGCTGCCTTGTCAACCAGCCTGCCCACTCCACACATGCCCAGATTCCCTATCCACACCTGCATGTTTCCTAACCCTAACTGAAAGGGCCAAACCTGTGTTCTAGGTGCTGAGGTGTCAAAGCCGAAGCTTGTTGCTGTGAGTTGGAAGTGAGACTCCTAGCCAGTTACTTCATTAAGTGTGAATGAGCAGGAGCTCATTGCAGAGATGGGATGTAGTAAGAATTGATTCACAGTCCATACATTCTGGGAATCTTGAGGAAGAAGAGGAAAGGCAGTGGCACAAGACATAGAAAATCTGTACAGAGAAATACACTCCCAGTCTCCAGATAGGCTTCTAACAGCCTCCGTTCAGTTCAGTCGCTCAGTCGTGTCCGACTCTTTGCGACCCCATGAATCACAACACGCCAGGCCTCCCTGTCCATCACCAACTCCCGGAGTTTACTCAAACTCCTAGAAACCAAAATAAACTGGTATCAAATCAGATCTGATGACAGGAAGTAGAAAGCATACAGAAGTAGGGAGTCCTCAAAATGGCTAGAGGTATGAGCAGTAGGATGGAGTGGTATTGCAGATCACATCTTGAGTTTTGACCATGGCACTTCACCAGTGCCGACCTTGGGGGTAGAGCTCTACGATATGGAGAGAGATTAAAAAGTCTGGAGAAGAAAAAGCGTGAGACAGAGTCCCATCAACAGATGAAGTTTTCCTTCCTTATTGGGACAGTGGGACTATGGGGTGAGGGACATATAATATGAAAGCTAGGATGGAGTTCTGACCCTTAGTTGTAATTTTTGCTGTACTGCTGACAACCATGTGACTTATATTGTAGGTGCTGGGGTTGGGGGAGGGGGAATGAGGAGTTAGTGTTTAATGAGGACAGACTTTCAGTTTAGGAAGGTGAAAATTTCAGGAGGTGGATAATGATGAGAGTTGCACAACAATGTGAATGTACTTGTGTCACTGATATAACTTCACTTTTTTAGAGCTCACACTGAAAACCTAGTTAGAGAATTTTCAGTTTTTTTGCAAAGTTATCATCTCCAGATCTTTTTCTGCTCTGTGTTCCTTGTTGCCAAAACTCAGATGTTGCTAATACTGTTTAGTGAACATTTTCACATAAGCAATCCACTGCCACACAAATCACATAGATGTACCATTTATGCTTGCTTACCTCTTTAAAGCAGCAGGGTATAATTTTAGCATTTATATTTGTTCAATTAAGGAAAAACAATTACAGTTGAACACATACTGCTTACTAGTCACTCCTGTTAATGGAGATAGGAAATATATTAAAATCATTTGGAATTTATCCCTGAAATCTAGATTTAGATGATTTTTAATTTACAGTAAAGCAAATTTGGCAGCCTTATCACTGCCATAGATGAAGAATTCTAGATTATCCATACTAATGAAGAAGATCAGTGGTGTGGCTAATCCAGAATAGTAGATAAATTATATAGCCAACTATCAATTGTCTGTGCTAATGGAGGGGACCAGCGATGTGGATAATCAAAATATAATTTACATGTAGCTTTGGAACATGTTTGTAGTACTGTATAGCCACATCAGTCTAGACTGCACAGGATCCAAACAGGAGACTCTGTAGTAGGTAGCTAGCAGATGTCTGAGGACACCTCCCTTTCAGTTTCAGAAATTCAGCTGTACAGATGTTAATAAATAGCTTCTTCATGTGAAAGATGCTCTAAGGTAAATGTGACTGCCCCCTTCTTTAATTCCACATGCTCTCTAATTGGGGAGGAAGGGGTGATCATAAGCAGCTCGGTACAAGACAGACTGATAGGAAATGGTGGTCACTGTATAAGGAGACCGCTCCAGGATCAGTGGGATGCTGGGAGTAGAAGAGTACTAATACCTTTCTGTAATTCTGATTTGCTCTTAGGCTTCCAGGATGGGTTATGGGTAAAGAATCTGCCGGCAGTATAGAAGACATTTGAGATGCAGGCTCAATCCCTGGATTGAGAAGATCCCCTGGAGGAGGAAATGGCAACCCACTCCAGTATTCTTGCCTGGGAAATCCCATGGACAGACGACTCTGGCAGGCTTCTCATTTGCTCTTTATATTTTACAATTAGAATCTGTCTTAGTCCATTCAGACTGCTATAAACAAGCTACCATAGACTGAGTAGGCTTATAAACCACCAGAATTTATTTTTTACCAAGATCATGGTGCAGAATCAGTGTCTGGTGAGGGCCGCTTCCTCACTTTCTTGCTGTGTCCTTACATGGTAGAAGAGGATAGAGAGCTCTGTGGGAATCTCTTTTATCAGAGTTCCACCCTCATGATCTAATCACAGTCCCAAAGGGTGCACCTCCTAATGCCATTACCTTGGGGTTTAGATTTCAACACATGAATTCGGTTGAGGGGACACACAGATGTTCAAACTATAGCAGAATCTTAGACCTAAATCTTTTATGGATATCCTTTATTCTGGAAACTTGGTGCCACCATGGATAGAGATTTATAAAAGCAATTCTTTATGTTACCATGTAGGTTTGCCTTACAACTTTCAATACCCAAAAACAGTCAGAAACTCAACAGCAGGTTAAATCTAAAGATAGTTGGAAAAAGGAAATCATAATGAACCAAATTACTGAAATAGAAAACGAGATTATTAAATAGCATCATCAAAACCAAAATCTGGTTCTTTGAAAATATTTTCTTTTCAAAAGAAAAGAGACAGACTTCTGGAAAAGCTTCTCAAAGAAAAAGAAAAGATACAAATAACATGAAGTTCAGCATTAGGGACTTCCCTAGCCATCGCATGGTTAAGACTGTGCTTCTACCACAGGGGGCATAGGTTCAGTGCATAGTCAGGGAACTAAGATCCCGCTTGCCACATGGCCAAAATAAAAGTTCAATGTTAAATCTGAAAATACAAATAAAGTAAATAACTCTAGGGAAAAATATGAACTAATCAAAATGACTGAAGAAGAACAAACCTACATGAACCAATACCACTAAAAAGATGGAATTAATAATCAAAATTCTCCCCACCAAAATATACCAGAACCAGGTAGGTTTGTAGTCAGGTTTTACCAAACATTTATTCAGATAGATAATCCAAAAGAACACTGTTCAACTTATTTTTTGAAGCTATTATAACCTAAAGCTACTTCAAAATATTTACAGAATGTTACCATTTTTATGAAATCTGAACACTTCAAACTTATAATGTTGTTTATTGGCATATTATTAATAGTAAATTAAGAGTAAAAGTATTAAAGCATGAGAATGGCAGACACCAACTTAAAGACCATGGTGGCTTCTGGAAATGGAAGATAAATGGGAAGATAATAATATAGATAATAATAAGATAAAAAATAAAGGGAGATAAATGGGAAGTGGGAAGGACAGTTACACAGAAGATCCCAGTTCTATCATTAGTGCCTAGTGGGAAGAAAACTGAATTAACAGTAAATGTTGGTTTGATAAAAGCTACATGGTTAGGTATGGATTTCCATTACTTTATTTTCTGTACTTTAGTATGTATTTAGAATGATTCCTAGTTCTTTAAATTACAAATTATGTCTCTGTGTATGGCTGCCAGCTTGATCAAGTATCTTAGAATTACAACTTGAGTATATAATGACAGAGTTAGGATAAATCAGCTAAATTCTATGCAGGTAATTCACATATTTTCTTGCTAAGAAATACAGATAGGCTCCACTGTCTTAAAGTAGAGTGTTCCTGTGAAACCTTACCTAAACCAAAGGAGCTGTAAAGCAAAGAAGCAGTTACCTTATAACACGTCTTTCCAATGAGTGCAAGAAATAAGTGGAGATAAAACACAGATGCTCACAGACACAGTTCAGAGCTATGGCAGCTTGACGCTGAGATGCTGAGTGTAGTTATGAGGAAGGGGCTTGATGGCGCCACTCCCAGTCAGTTCAGTTCAGTAGTCGTGTCCAACTCTTTGCAACCCCATGTCCGTCACCAGCTCCCAGAGCTTGCTCAAACTCATGCCAATCGAGTTGGTGATGCCATCCAACCATCTCTTCCTCTGATATCCCCTTCTCCTCCTGCCTTCAATCTTTCCCAGCATCAGGGTCTTTTCCAGTGAATCAGTTCTTCGCATCAGGTGGCCAAAGTATTGGAGTTTTAGCTTCAGCGTCAATCCTTCCAATGAATATTGAGGATTGATTTCCTTTAGGATTGACTGGTTTGATCTCCTTGCAGTATGAACAGTATGAAAAAGCTACTCCGGTTACTCACTGTATAATGGTTGCTGCGAAAGATGCTAAAGGCTATTTTCACTTTTCACCTTTTCTTATAAAGGTGAAAATCGGCTTCATAGTTCTTTCTGCTAGTGAAAACAAGTCTTCCATAAAAGTGAAGCAGTGTAAAGCGAACTTTTAAAAAGCAGGGGCTACTTGTACTTTAACTTTTCTTTAGTTCCTTGCTAAGAAGTACTGAAAACCTAGACAGCATATTAAAAAGCAGAGACAAAAAAAAAAAAACAGAGACATTGCTTTGCCAACAAAGGTCCATCTAGTCAAGGCTATGGTTTTTCCAGTAGCCATGTATGAATGTGAGAGTTGGACTATAAAGAAAGCTGAGCACCAAAGAACTGATGCTTTTGAACTGTGGTGTTGGAGAAGACTCTTGAGAGTCCCTTGGACTGCAAGGAGATCCAACCAGTCCATCCTAAAGGAGATCAGTCCTAAATATTCATTGGAAGGACTGATGTTGAAGCTGAAACTCCAATACTTTGGCCACCTGATAACGAAGAACTGACTCATTTGAAAAGACCCTGATGCTGGGAAAGATTGAAAGCGGAAAGAGAAGGGGACAACAGAGGGTGAGATGGTTGGATGGCATCACCGACTGAATCGACATGAGTTTGAGTAAACTCCAGGAGTTGGTGATGGACAAGGAGGCCTGGCGTGCTGCAGTCTGTGGGGTCTGGAAGAGTTGGACACAACTAAGCACCTGAACTGAAGAAGTACTGAATGTTTATGGTAAATTTTAGGCAAGATTGCAGAAGACAGAAGTGAAAGGTTCCACAGAGCAGCCTTTTTCAAATGAAAGACATTTGGTTTGCAACAAGTTGAATATATCTTTGTCACAGATCAGGATAAACAAAGCCTACTAAATGGGACATGACTCAGGCCAAGGATGTGGATTTGGAAACTGGCAACCACCAGAAGACCAGAGTAAGGAGAATGGGGCAAGTGAGAGGAGTGATCTTTTCATGAGTAGGGGGAGCAAAGAAGAGAAAGAATCATGTAGGAGCACTTTCAAGCTTGGCAAACCCCCCACCACCCTCAGTTCAGTTCAGTTGCTCAGTCGTGTCCGACTTTTTGTGACCCCATGGACTGCAGCACTCCAGGCCTCCCTGTCCATTGCCAGTTCTCAGAGTTTCTCAAACTTATGTCCATTGTGTCGGTGATGCCATCCAACCACCTCATCCTCTGTCGTCCCTTTCTCCTGCCCTCAATCTTTCCCAGCATCAGGGTCTTTTCAAATGAGTCAGTTCTTCGCATCAGGTGGCCAAAGTATTGGGAGTTTCAGCTTCAACATCAGTCCTTCCAATGAATATTCAGGACTGATTTCCTTTAGGATGGACTGGTTGGATCTCCTTGCAGTCCAAGGGACTCTCAAGAGTCTTCTCCAACACCACAGTTCAAAAGCATCAGTTCTTCAGTGCTCAGCTTTCTTTATAGTCCAGCTTTCACATCCATACATGACTACTGGAAAAACCATAGCCTTGATTAGACAGACCTTTGCTGGCAAAATAATGTCTCTGCTTTTTAACATGCTGTCTAGGTTGGTCATAACTTTTCTTCCAAGGAGCAAGCGTCTTTTAATTTCATGGCTGCAGTCACCATCTGCAGTGATTTTGGAGCCCAAGAAAATAAAGTTTGTCACTGTTTCCTCTGTTTCCCCATCTATTTGCCATGAAGTGATGGGACCAGATGCCATGATCTTAGTTGTCTGAATCTTGAGGTTTAAGCCAACTTTTTCACTCTCCTCTTTTACTTTCATCAAGAGACTCTTTAGTTCTTCACTTTCTGCCATAAGGATGGTGTTATCTGCATATCTGAGGTTACAGATATTTCTCCCAGCAGTCTTGAATCCAGCTTGTGCTTCATCCAGTCCAGCATTTCTCACCACCCTACTCCCCACTATAAGAATCACTGCCCTTGTGAGCAGTGGTGTTGACTTAAAATAAGCTTTCAAAAACCACTTGTGTGAAGGAAAAAGAGCAAAAGTCTAAGAATTTAGCCACACATCAGAGTGTAAATGTGATGAGAAGAAGAAAAGGAGAAGCACTTGAAGGAAGGCTGTTGGAAGAGAGAGAGATGCAAAGGACTGATAAAACATAATTTCAAATGAAACAAACCCTCTAACAGAGGAACAAGGCACTGCTGGGGGAGAATGTTGGCAGGAAAACCTTTAAAAAGGTCAGAAGGGTTTCATAGGTAAAGAAGTAAAGGAAGAAAACCCAAGCCTGAAAGACTAAGCACAGTTGAGTGTTTGATCCTCCCAGTGTCTCAGCAAACCACATCCTACGACCATAGTGCATATGAGTGCTGTGTCAGTGGTCCATCGTCTTACCAAACGGTTATCTGAATGGTGTGACCTTATGTCATCATAATTTCAAATACAATTTGCAGGAATGTACAGAAAGACGAATGTTTAACCAGACCTTTCCAACATCTCCATTCATCTATTACTATGATGACAAATACGAAATCCGGGAGAGAGATCAGAGAATAAAACGAAAAGTGAAAGGTATGTTACTAGACTTCTTCCTAAATTGCCTTTGCAATAATTCCTAAATTTCTTTCTTTTTTTTTTTTTTTTTTGTGCTGTCTTTGTAAACTGCTTTGTGGGCCTTTGGTTAGCACGGAAAATGTTTTTAATAATTACTGTAGAAACTGGAACTTTCTTGATCTCCAGAAGTCAAGGACCCACTTCAAAAATCCTGCATTATAATCTGTTCACAATGAACATTTTTCTCACACTGTGATTATTTTAGAAAATGTCCAGAAAAACACTTCTGTCCATTTATGCATGCAGAATTTTTAAAGGCTCCTTTGAGATTTTTCTTTTCAACAAGTAATTATGTTTTCCCTCTAGTATTTTTCAAGCAAAGAAAAGGCTTTCTCTGCTTGGTGATTCCTGGAGCTTCCCCAAAGAAGTCATTTTTTACTGGGCACCATTATGAGCAGAGCTCCAGATCCACAGTCACCCTCCATTTCTTTATTTGCCATTGCTAACATAATGCTCTTTCTCACCAAATTGTTTTATATTTACATCTGCTCTCTCCACCTCTCTTCTTTCTTGTTACACACTTGACGCTGGCTCACAGAGCCACTTTCTCGCCTGCAGGACCAAATAGCTCTGTCGTTTCCTCCCTTGCTCACACATTGTTGCCCTTGGCCTTTTCACTCTTCTTTTCCTGACTGTGTCTGAGTTCAGGTCCTTTCAAAATGAAGACGCTAATTCTGGAGAAAAGTAGATGAATCACTTCAACTCCTACATATTTTATTTTGCATAAAGTTTATCTCAACCATATATACAGAATTACAGTATTAGAAGATAATGATTAGCAGCTGAATTTTTAAAAGATTACAAAAAAATGCACCAAAATGTCATCTCTGGATTAAAGGGTTGTGTGTGCTTTCTCTCTTATTTTCTCTATAGTTTTCTGTATTTCCCGTTTTTTAATTATTGACAACTCTGTGGTACAGATCCACTTTGAGGCTCGCTATTGTGGACTTTGTGTTTTATACTGAAGCCTATAAGTAATTACTTATTTTTGCTTTGTATTCTAGAATTCATTTTTGTTCCCTAAATATACTACTTCCTACTCCACCTCATTTTTTTTATTGGTGATTTCTGTAATCTTTCAAGGTTCTGTTGATGTAACTTTTCATCCCTCACTGTACCCTCACCTCCTACTTACGCCTTCAGAATCACTATATCAGATATTTGCAGTGAGAGTGCCACGTCCTGACAAAATAAAGCGTCAGATCTGGCACTTAAACCTCTTGGATATACAAGTGCTTGCACATGTGCACACTCAGTTTCCAAGCTGGTGATCTTACCTCTGAGGAATAATCTGCTGTCCAGCATGGCCTTCACCTGTAAGCACTGTGGCCAGACTTCATCTTCAGAGGATGGTTGGAATGCCGTATGAAGCTGTCAGAAGGCCGTGTTCCGCGTCTTGCTCCACCTTATCATCAAGGACTCTCTCTTTACCACTGCAGGAACTTGAGTTGGTCAGACATGACTTTCTTCACAAAGCTAAAATGATTACTTCTCTCACTGATCTCTGTCTCCATTGTTTAACCTAGTTAAACTGTGTTGAGCAAAATAAATATCATTGGATATCTGGATGTTTTTCATGTTTGGAAATATAGAACTACAACCACTGAGTTTTTAGTGAGTGATTTTAACCTTAGTAAGGGCTCTTTAGAATGTCATATCATTAATGCATTTAAGTATCTGGCTTTCCTCTCTGCTGAGTTATTTACAGACTAGTGAAAGCTCTGAATATGCTATGCCAGTCTAACTGCTGAATATGCAGAAATATCTTTATGTTTTCCAGAACTCCAGAAAAATGGGCACTTGCCAAGGAAGTTCAAGAGGCCTCATATGGAAGCAGCAGATAAGAGGCCCCGTGACATGAGAACAAGCCATGCCTCATGGAAAAACAACAGGTGGCCTCAAGAAAAGAAAGAAACCCAAAAAGAAACCATGAGCAGGAACATGAGAGAGCGTGAGAAGCACAGAAAGGCTGCCAGGTGTCACGAAGATGATGAGGACTTCCCCAGGGGCCCGAAAGTCCACTCTGCTCCTGGCACTTCCAAAACCCAGAAGCCTCACAAGCCCTTTCACCACTCATCACATCACCTCAAGCCAAGAGAAGACAGGCTGCCCAAGGAGGGCAAGCGGGGCAAGCATAAGAAAAAGGAGAGCTGTTTGGAGGAGGATAGCAATGATAATTTGTTTCTCATTAAGCAGAGGAAAAAAAAATCTAAGCTATGAGTCAGCTTCTGATTGGGCTTCCCAGTGTTTGTCTGTTCTTCATGTCTGCAACATCCTGTCCATATTTTTATTATCTGTGATTAAATAAAATGAGATTTTTGGTTTGTTTCTGTAATCTCAGCCATATCTAGAGCTATTGAACAAAGTCGTTGAAGATCTCAGTTCTCTATGTTCAGCAGGTTCCTAGGTAAGAAAACAGATAAACTTGGACTTCCCCTGTTCCCAGATGTCATTTTTATTCACTCAGTATCCTCAGTTCAGTTCAGTTCAGTCACTCAGTCTTGTCCGACTCTTTTCGACCCCATGAATCACAGCACGCTGGGCCTCCCTGTCCATCACCAGTTCCCGGAGTCTACTGAAACCCATGTCCATCACGTCGGTGATGCCATCCAACCATCTCATCTGTCATCCCCTTCTCCTTCTGCCCCCAACCCCTCCCAGCATCAGAGTCTTTTCCAATGAGTCAGCTCTTCGCATCAGGTGGCCAAAGTACTGGAGTTTCAGCTTCAGCATTAGTCCTTCCAATGAACACCCAGGACTGATCTCCTTTAGGATGGACAGGTTGGATCTCCTTATAGTCCAAGGGACTCTCAAGAGTCTTCTCCAACACCACAGTTCAAAAGCATCAATTCTTCAACACTCAGCTTTCTTCACAGTCCAACTCTCACATCCATACATGACCACTGGAAAAACCATAGCCTTGACTAGACGGACCTTTGTTGGCAAAGTAACGTCTCTGCCTTTCAACATGCTCTCTAGGTTGGTCATAACTTTCCTTCCAAGGAGTAAGCGTCTTTTAATTTCATGGCTGCAATCACCCTCTCCAGTGATTTTGGAGCCCAAAAAAAATAAAGTCAGCCACTGTTTCCACTCTTTCCCCATCTATTTCCCATGAGGTGATGGGACCAGATGCCATGATCTTAGTTTTCTGAATGTTAAGCTTTAAGCCAACTTTTTCACTCCTCTTTCACTTTCATCAAGAGGCTTTTTAGTTCATCTTCACTTTCTGCCATAAGGGTTAGTATCCTAGGGATGGGAAAACAATCTTTTCACAAAAAAGTTTTTGAAATATTTTGAAAAAACAAAAACTCATTAAATATAATTCATCTGCAGTTTGAGTATGAAAATTAAGTCCTTATAAGGAGAAATTAACACTAATATGGAGACCCCATCCCTCTTTTTTAGCATTCCTTTTAATATTAGAAAGGATAATAACTATATATCTAAACCTGGCTTTCCTTGCTTCTGAAGTTGGCATCAGAATCTTACTTTGATCAGAGCATCACAAGCTGAAAATGAAGGTGAAAGCACTGAAGAGACGGGGATTTGGATTTTATAACAGAAGTAAGGAATCCATCCAGAGTAAATGTTAAGGGACAGATTTCCTGAGCCAAGTGAAAAGAGTCATCAAAAATTTTGACTTAATTGCAGTGAAATCATTTTTTACTATTTTTATAGCCATACCTGAGGAATACTGTCCCTCAGATATTTAAGATGAATGTTACCCAACTTAAAAAATTGTTTCCTTCTCCTGGGTTTTTTAACTACCACAGAGTTATACAGGAATTTTTGTATTTGTGACCTTTTGTACTTACCAGAGCCTAATGTTAGAAAAATAAAATGTCTGAAATGTACATTTGTCTGCTATGTAAAAAGACAGAGTTTGAGTGACAAAGGGGATACTTGGGTTGGACAAGTGACTGAAGTTATAGAATCTCTATAAACTGGGGTCAAATGCCAAGCACTAGGTCTATGCCAGAATAAAATGAGATGGAGAAACATGTTCCTCCGTGGTCTCCAACAACTGGAGTCTTAAATTTGTGGTTCACTCTTGGGAACCATGTGTCCGGTAGCATCAGCTCTCTTTTGGGGGGAAGGAAGAGTCTCTGCTCTGGAATCAGACTTAAGTCTTTAGTCCATCACCTCCCCTGTGGCTGCCCAGCTTTCAGCCAAGTGTCAGCATCCATTATGTGTTAGTGCTTGGCTTCCTAACATCTACTGGGATTGTTTTACTTGTTTTGACCCTAAGGTAAGTGGACAGAGTCTTTTTAATAATCCTGCTAAAAGTGGCAGCCATGAAAAATGACTTCATAGAATGCTGAGCCTTGAGATAATTGGCATTGTTTCTCAGTAGGACTTGGGGCAAGCGTAGCTTATTATTGACATGATGTGACTAGCATTCCTGTGTATCTGAGGACCTCTAATTTCAGGGCAGAAATGGGATTGCCTTTCATACTCAGAAAACTGGAGGCAGGCAAAAAGGAAGCACTTTTCTGTTTGTTTCTTAACATTATCTTATTTTTCCTCCACAATTTTTTGTGCAGTTAGGAAGCACAGCTGCATTTCTTCACTTTGGGGCAGTAGGGAATGGTAAGGAAAGAGCAGAAATGTAAGAAGAGCTTTTGCTCATTTCCTCTTTGTTACCCTTGGCACCTGACTCTTACACCAAGTGTTCGGTTAAAGTCAGTAAGTCTACTAACTTCCCATACAAGAATAAAGAGTTTACCAGTCTGACAATGAAATAAGATTTCAAATGGATAAATGTGATTAAGAGAAAAGCAGATGTCCCAAACAGGAAGGATCCACATAGTTGCTAAGATTGTGTGTGTGTGCATGTGTGCGTGCGTGTGCATGCACACACATGCAGTTGCTCAGTCGTGTTCAACTCTTCACAGCCCCATGGACTCTAACCTACCAGGCTCGTCTGTCCCTGAAATTTTCCAGGCTAGAATACTGGAGCAGCTTGCCATTTCCTGTTCCAGGGGATCTTCCTGACCCACGAGTTAAACCCTGGACTCTTAAGGCTCCCGCACTGGCAAGCAGATTCTTTACTACTGCATCACCTGGGCTTCCTAGTCTATAGTTCTACCATCGTTTATTTAATCATTCCTCTGTTGTTGAAGTTTTTGGTTGCTTCTGATTTTCATTAGTTTTTTTTTAATTCCTCTATGCACGTTGTATCTTCTCCAATTATTCCATATAAAACCAAATTTATGGATCAAAAAACATGCATATATTTCCTGCAGGTTTTAGTACATATTGGAAATTATATTCCTAGCAGTATATGAGAATGTTTATCTCCTCATTCCCACAATAACATGGAATATTTTCATTCCTTTTTCTCTTTCCCACTCTGATGGGCAAAGAAACATTATTTGTTAGTGCTGCCGTGAAAATATTGATGTGAGCTGTGTTTATGTAAGGAGAGACAGGGTTAACAGTGTATCAGCAACCTGTTGATAAAAGATACAGAAGCAGCTCCTGATAGGAAACAACTGAAAATTCTTCTGACAACAAAAGTTTGCTTATGAGATAATAGAACCGCTCATCCCTTTGTTGCTGTCTTGATCCCTTGATCTTACTGTTTTTGGTTTTCACGGTTTAGAGAGTGCTGCTGGTATCTAGTGAGTAGAGGCCAGGAATGTGGACAGTCTGCTGCAACAGAAAGTTGAGCAGAGCCCAAAACGTCCGCAGTGCTGAGGCTGAGAAACCCTCGTTAAAACCCCAGCCCATTTCGCGAAAGGAATTCTCACCAGAAGGAGTCGGTGCAGGTTGCCTTCCACATCTTATAAAGCTTATACTAATATTAGTACTTTCATCAGACTGGTGTCTGAGAGCCTGACGGGACATGTCCCACTCATCTGAAATAAGGGCTGCTAGTTTCATGGCATGGGTATCTATAGACCATGTGGGCCCCTTTGTGGAAGGACAAGGCCACTGGCGACTCAGCCAGCTTAGGGGAATTACTTACTACTATAACCAGAAAACATGGATACAAATTTTAAAGCACCAGGCTAGGGTGTTAGCTCTGTCAAGGGAATAGTGGTGTGAGAACAGAGGGAGTGGGCTGAGTCCGGGGGGCGGTGCAGTGAGGAGGGTTGGAGACTGTCTAGTGGGACATTTGATTGGTTAGGAATGTCAGTAGGTTGTAGATGCCATCACCAGGACCCCAGTCCAGCACAGGCACTTAGGGTTTGGGCTTATCAGCATGGCAAAGAAGTACCATCCATTGGAAGACATGCAGTGCATGCCATACGAAGAATCACATCACATGATGAAACCATTTCAGAGTTGCCCTATCCAGAGGAAAGTTTCTGGTGCATTTAATGTGTATTTAACTTATATGATGGACATTCTACTACCATCCTAACAGTTGTGAAATCAGTTTTTCAAGTGATTTACTAGGAAGTATTTCCAATAAGACCCAGTGAGGGAGTGGGGAAGTGGGACAGAGAAGAGAAAGTATCCAAACTGGGTGCCTTATCAAGTCAGGGTCCCACAGAGGGCAGCTCTCAGACTCCCAAAGGTGCACTAGAGACAGCATGGGCCCCCTCAGAGGCTCCCTGATCAGGGCTAAAGGAGTTCCTGTATCACTTTTTGTTTTGTGTTAAGTGAATCAGTCATTGTTGAAGAGCTGCTTCAGGAATCTTTTTCAGTCAACTCTGGCTTTCTGTGCACCCAGGCAAAGTAGGTTCGGGCAGTGAGAAGGCAGCCCCCTGCCAGTGACACGGGGATATGAATGAAACACGTCACCTGCTACAACCATAAACTCAGAAGTCCTCCCCACTAGATACTTGGCAGTCATACACTAAAATGTGGGTTTGTGTTTTTTTAAATGCAAAAAAACCCAAAAAACAAAAAAACTTCGTTTTGACGAACTGTAATCATTTTTTCAGACTTTTATCAGCTTATGGTATTTGTATATAACAGTGTAACATGAAAGAGTCCAAAATATCAAATTTATTGCAGCATATATTAGCCATTATCAAAAGTTTCAGCGAGTTCTACTTCCAACCAAGACGGGGGTAACAGGGACCAGATTTACCATCCATCCTGACACTGTAAAATATGTGAAGCAGTTTTCAAGACATTAAACATAGACAAAGAAGGACAGTGAACTTTTGAGAGATGACCCCTGGCTGCCCCAGCAGACTGCTAAAAGGGTTTTCCAATTGTGGAGCAAGGAGGAGAACCTGGGAAGGGCCTCATTAGGGAAACAG